CTGTGTGTATAATGATAATATGCTGATTCATACATAACCACAGAACTAATCCAATCATTTTGTTTCGTTCTTATAAACCTGTCAGTTTACATAACAGAATGCTATGATGGATTATACATACCGTTTAATTTCGAATGATACGGTATCATACGATTTTTGACCACAATAACATCGCACGATAGCTATTTTACTCAATTAAGGCGAATATGCTTTCTGATAGTGTTTACCACAAATGCACATTGATATTTAACTCACTATTCCAAAAGCAGACACTGAAATTGTTTCAAACATTGCGTCAAATGCCGCGAAAGGGCATCTCTGCTGATAGACTGCTTTCAAACTCCTTTTTATCAGTAAGTACTCGTCCTACTTTTATTAGATGCACGGGACCAGCGCAATTGCAAGCAAAATATATGATCGATTTTTATACCGGAAATGTACTCTGGCAACGAACTAGTCATTGTTCAATCAGCCTAGCGAACAGGTATATCTAGGCGTATATTTGATAAAAGGGCCTTAAAAGAAATTTGGAAAGGGGTGTTACTTCACCAGAAATATATATTACAGATAACCAATAAAAAGCGGTTGCACAACTTAAAATAGTAGGATGAGCTGACGCAATTCGTTGCGATAATAAAATTTTTGCGATGACGAAAATGAGGCGTGTCGTCTTCGTAAAGATGTTCTTTTAGTGGCTTTTCTTGTCAGATCAACGAGCGTTTCATTTATGTGGTTTTCGGAGGAATTAGAATCATTAGTATGCAGAAATATCGGTTTATAGTGCTAAATATGTTCCGAATTGTTCAGATTTACAAGATGTCGTGAAAAGTATGCTGGATGCCGTTAGTCGTCGACAAAAGTTGGAGATCACGGTATAAAGTGAATGTCCATAAACATTCTCAATAGCTCAATACATGTGTGATAAATTGGTCAAGTGGCTGAATTTTAACCGCTCCAGAAGTGTGTGTACCAATATGGATGAACTAATTGTGTTCGTCTACTTTAAATCAAGTTGTGTAAAGGGACGGAAGCCTATGGTATATTCACTTGGCCAACACAGACAGTCCCCGAACGTAATAGAACTAAAATAAGGAAAATCGGAATAAAATTATGGCCCAACCCTAATCTGGTACACACACTACGGGAGTACCGAATTTTGGGATAGTGTTCATAACAAAAGTGTGACGTACTTATTTAAAATTTGCATAAACGCCAACAGTACATTAGTTTCCATGCCCAAAACTCAAAATACAAACGCATTTAAACGATTCCGATTCCACCCATGCATGATATTTGATAATACGATTCTACTTTTGAGCGTTCCGGTAATTACGCAACGCTCACGGAGATAACAGATCTAGGATAAATCGTAAATTACGTATTATTGTCCAATAAGCATAAATTTAGCTCTATACGCCAGGAACAAATTATACTTCTATTTCCCAATAAAAGATCTCAAGTTACTTGTTTCCATGGTATTTACAAAAGTTATAACTTATCGACACATTCCATGTCGTAAATAGTAATATAATCCCTTATGTAAATAGTTGTTGAACGGAAAAAAACCATTTCTCAATGTCACTCAAATAATAGATTTAGTCAGCAACATTATTGTAGTTACATATAGACGTGATCAAGCGATTACTAGACCAACCGGCGCACAGTGGTAACTGACAAACAAACTTGCCTGATCGTGATGAACACACATGGTTTAGGATGCTCGTGTTATTTTGAGTTGAAAGCTCATTCGCGTCTCTACATCCAAAAATCTTATTTTTGAACTATTCCTGAAATTTGCCAAGTAAATTTTTCCCAACGTTTTTCGTTAGATTCCTCCATCCGCCTATTTTGAAACTCTTCGCCTCCCATCTTCTTCAATATGCATATAAAGTAATTTGTTCAATCTTTAATGAAAATTCAGCTAGTATTATGCGTCATTACCCCTTACGCCTTTGTAAAGTTTAAGCAGTTCACGTGCGGATAAATTAGCCTTAGTAATAATTATGTAGAAATTAATAAATATAATTATTTTTATCACAGCAAATACTAAACAAAATGGGACTTCCGTGGTATGTGCCCGAATTCGTAATAGAACTAAAATAAGGGAAATTGGAATAAAATAAAGACCTAACTTTAACCTGGTTACATAATACGTCCCGGTGTCCGCCATCTTGGTTCACATACTACCATAGTAAGAATAATGAAGAACTGAAGAATATAATTCTAAGATAAATTCCTCCCCAACAATGACAAAATTCCTCCATTTCCTCCCGACTGGCAAACGTTTCTATAAGTAATGAGATCACATGGGCTCTACCTCTCAACGCGTATATGGAAGGCTATAAGGAACCATAATATGTCCGTTGTCCAGGCCTAATCATTCGTATTTTATCTGGTTCAAATCGGATGTCAAATTAAACTCAAATATAACAGGCGTCGACAGCGCGTATACATTGAAGTTAAAGTTCCCTCTTACAGCAAAATTTTCACGGTTTCTTTACTTTTATGAATATTTGATTAGAGCAATTATGGACGCGTTGCTTCAGAAATAAATCAGAATAATCGCTCAAACGCTATAATCTACTAATAAACTTTCAAAATTGTGGTGGTATCGTATTTACAAATAAAGATTGACACTAGAATAGCAGTTAGTCATGTTCGCCAGGTGAACAATTTTGAATTTGAATGTCCGAATTTCCTGACAATTCGATTTGAAATAATACCAAATATAAAAGCATAGAGAGGCCTTGGTATCAAATCAAACAAACCAAGTTATTTCGGACGTACTAATATACTAGAAAAGATCTAAAACTGAGTTAAAGATTCATGCGATGATTCAAAAACCAAAACAATTAAACGCGACAAAGCTTTTTGCGATTAATCATCGAACAAGATAGGACCGCCCCGAGTCACTGCAATGCGATGCAAACCCGACTTTCTAGACATCTCTATCCCGGGTACAAAACTTGTGAAAATCTTTCAGCGTATTCTGCTGTCAATAAATCTCTATAATATTTTGCGGTAGACCGAATTCGTTGGCCAGTTCGCTTGTTTAAAATCCTTAGGTTGAGTCAACATAAAAAATTTGACAAATAGGCTTATTGCCAACACTAGCATAAAGATTACTTGTATAAATTATACTATATAGCCATTCACCCAATGCGTATTTTATGCGGAAAAAAGGTATTTATGATCGTCCAGTGACATTCTTCTGTTGTATTTTATTTTTAAAAGAACTACTCAAGTCACAGACTAAGTTAAAAGTCACTTTGTTGAGAAAATACTTCCAATTCAAGGTTTGAAAAACAAATGTTATTACAGTTTTGTGGGCAAGATGGTCTGTTAGTGAAAGCGTCGGGATTGATCATGTTGGCATCGCAAGTTTCTGGGTCAAAACCCAATGCAGGCCCACTCGCCCAGGGGTCATTGGATTGAATAGACAATGACGAACTGAGAAACAGTGCTGCTTTTTATAGTCTTGTTCAGGGCGAATAGTGCGTAATCTGTATTGGAATAAATATTAATTAGACATTATCCCAGTATTTTGTCTATTTTAAAATATTCTCCTTAGTGTGAGGCCGAAACACAACAATTCAGCATAGCCCAAAGCAATATCACTGATACAAGTGACTCATAAGGCGGTGGAACCACTGAAAACGCCCCCAAACTGTCCACAATTATTCATCTTATTAAATTGGTGTAAATATATATATAAGAGATTGATAAAGTTTAATATTTTTTGCTTCGCAAAATTTCATCCGATATCGGTGGTCTGTGATTCATGAAAATGGGTGCATATAGCTTAGTAATGCTTAAGTTATGAGTAATGCATGAGATGTCATGCAGGAAAACAAACATTCGAGACAGCAGATGAATTTCACTTTTTTCAAAAGTCTACTGTTAAAGTTTATTATGAAGTAAATACTAAACAAATGTGTCACATATTTATCGACATCAATAAAAGGATAAAGATTTCAAAGCTGATAAGATGACACAAACAAACTAAATTTCTTGCACAAATAAAGCGCTGTCAAGTTGTTTTGCGAAGTAGGCCTAGTAAAAATAAGTGCATTTTAGAATATGAATTGAACAAAAAATACATTGAAACAAAAAACTGGGAAATAACTTCAAACACCTACCGGACTTTTATGAGCTTTTTTCGCTGATCCAATTATTCAAAACTGACCACTGTCCATCACTCACTCTCCCATGACGTTTAATTTGAGATATCCAAACAATATTCTTAATCAACGTGACAAGTCATGCAGCCACAAACATGCAAGTTTATTGTTTAAACGTGTAGCTGTACACAAATACACAAAAACAGAATGCGTCAGATGTTTTTTGAGATTTTCTAAGAAACAAAGTTCAATAGAAAAATACAATCGGTGCAAATAATCATGATAATTTTGTACAAGAGTATTCAAAATAGTACAAAAAATAATATTTCATTTTTTATTACTATATTTAAACAGTTGAGTTGACCAATTTATTACTAACGTACAAAACCAACTCCCACTAACAAAAAATCACAAAAACGTGTTCTTGAAGTGTTACAGACAGAATCGCAATCTGTCAGAGTGGTTTTCCAAAATACCTGGCTGGCTGAATGCTTCCCTACCCTTCCCATCCCTGTATGACACGCTCTTCCAATAAAATTATCATTTGGCATCCTGAACTAGCGCAAAATATATTCCCAACCCATACACTGCCTTATTAAACTTAGTTTTCATTTGAACTCTGCAGATATTTTGATGGTGGCATTGTTTGTAAACAATGAGATTTAGAATGCATGGATAAACAAACTTGTGTTGCCAGAAAATGCCATGTAAATTTTAATTTTTAAAGTATTGTAATTTATTTAAATTTTGGTCACTCATTGTTTCGTATAAATTAATTAGATGCAACACAATGCGAGTCATGCCGAAATGTTTGTCCTTCGAACTAAATATTAAACGCTCTTTTTATGTAAGGTCAAAAATTGAAGTCTTTTAAAAATCTGAATTTCAAACTTTCTCAAATTGGTGGGATCGGAAGTCGAAGCTGGGAATATTTCGATTTTGTAGACTTCATAGTGATAGAAATGCTGGGGTCTGGAACAAGACTGTCATAAAACGTAAGTCTTTTTGTTTGATAATATGGAAATCTTCACTGAGTATGGATAAGTCCTAATTAACTAATGTCAGAATGTGTCACAAGTTCACTAAACGCCGTTCTCTTTTAAATATTATGGCGGGTACCAGGTTATCCGAAATGAACGTGCGATTATACAAAAGACCAGTGCCAAGGGAGTTGATTAGAATTGGGAAACACTATAATTCGTCTTACGTGTTGATAATTAATGATCTAAAGATGATTGCAAATGAGCAGCAGGTTGTGAACATGGCCCTAGAATTTTGACTTACCAGACGAAACAAGAACAGTACTTGGCCGTTGTAATGAAGTTATTTTGATTAGCCTCGCCTCAGGGATTCCTAAAATTAAAAGAGTGAGGATTATGCAGACAAGATTAGAATTTTATATTTATCTCAAAAAGCAGAAGCCGATAACGTGCCGTAGAGTCGTAGACTGTCCTATGCTGCACTGTAACATGCGCGCCCGCAGTTCGACCGGCATTTCCATTGCGTCGAAATAATTTCACCAATTATAAATTATTATCATGTGCAATGTTGGTGGATTAATACGTGACTGAGCAAATAGCATGGCGCGTTAACTATGGTTACTTTAATCGTGATTTTGTAATTTGCTGAATTTTACATAATTTTGATTTCCGTTATTTATCCTCACTTCTACCCAGATTGTAGCCCATAGGGCGGCATTCAAGGTAGGTCCTGCGACCAGTTTCCACATTTCGTGTTCAATTTCAGTTAATCATTCAATTTAGACGTATACATTGCGAATAAACCATTCTGCAACAGTCAAAAGTCCGACAATCTCACCCTCACAGATACTAATTACCTGGCGGGATGCATTCTTGTGAGTCCATACTTGATACAATATCCCTTCAGCTTACCATATTCTGATAGCCGTATAGTCAATGGTCCTTTTTGCCTAGTTATCTGTGTGCATGTAATGATGGTTGAACTGTATATTGATATCATAGAGACATGGCATTTGCTATGGATATAGCAGAAAAAGCGAACTTCATGATTTTATCGTATTTGTTGCATTGTGTTCACTGATCGTTGCATAAGTTAATTCCCGTGCCTGCAAAGTACCACCTTGCCCGACACGGGTGGTAATCGAATTAGACCACATAGCTCGACTGGTAACTCTGAAGAAAGTAAAAAGAACAAAGGGAAAAGTAGATGCCTTCTATTATATTTGACCCGGTTAAGCCGAAGTAAAAGGTATTTTCTCTTTATGGGGTCTTTTCTTATTGATTGGATTAGAATATAGATTATCCTTCTGCATTAAAAAATTCTTTCGAGAAAACTTTGCCTCAAAACTAGTCGTAATATTGGTATACAGTTTGCATATTCGGAAATGATTTGAAAGTATATAAATAGGTGCGGTATGTATCATGTACAACTTTTTGTAATAGCTCGTTTAAATTTTGACGGATACAAAAAAATTTTCGCGGTTATTTCTCGTATCTGAAAGTTTTTTATGCCTTGCCAATATTGGCCATTCAGTCTGTTTTTCATTTAACGGGTTATTAACCGTTTTTTTAGTGTCGATATCCAATGAGATCTGACTTTGTTTTAGATTTTCAATTTCAAAGACTTCTTCTGTTAATGTATTAAGTTTTATTTCCATTTGAAAAGGACACGTGTGAAGAATATACAACATATAAGCATCTAATTGTTCATTATATAAATTTTCTTCTACTCCAATCTTCGTGTGTTTCGAGTAATCACTTTTATACATATTTTGGGAGTTTAGGTAGATTCGATCATTGATAATTTTGGCTTCGCCTGAGAATTCCGTTTTTAAGCTGATTCAAATTTTTTTACTTTTCTCAATCGAATCCCGCAATACACCTGTTATAAATACATTAGGTATGTAAATCACAGGCTATACAGTAATTTAATATTTATCTATAACCGACTTTGCCGCATAAAACGATCTCATTTGTTTGCAGTCATTCTAAACTGTCATTCAAATTTCGTTAGTGGTAAGCACAGTCTGATTACGCAATAGGTAATAACTGCTCCATGAATTATGAAATGCTTCGCCAAAAGTATGTTTCACTATTTGTTGCGTCTATATTAGAATGGTGATAAATTTGTTTTAAATTCCTTTTGTTCTAAATTACCTTTTATATTTCAGACGAAAATTTAAAATATTGAACAAACGTGGCCCCATTCACAGCGCCCCGTTAGTTTATTATGTGTTACCGTTGGTGTTACTAAGTAGTGAAATAGTTGAATTTTTTCAATGTGTATTTCCATATGCCAACAGTCGGTGTTCACTATTCATTTACCACATACTTAGCGTTAGAAAGCGAATCAATTCGCTTTGATTTCATGCAAAAGCGCGCGGAATGACTACTTAGCTGTGGATAATTGGATAATAGTTGTCAGGTTCTAGTGTTTCGGAAGAAAACATATAAACAAATGGGCTTTGAGATTATATAATCAGCTTAGCAACAATAATATTTTCCTTCTTAGAGTCAAACACGTTATTCTTAAGCTATTTTAGACGCTTCCCTGTCGGTAAATTTTCTTTGCTTTATAAATTCTGTCGATTAAGCATTGGTGGGATTCGTCCAGTTTCTGTTATGAAAAAAATCTAAACTTGCGCTTGACTAATTAATTAAGCGACGGCGGAGCGGTTAAACGTTGGACCTAGCTGTTTTTGTATCGTAGGTATACACATCTCGGGTTCGAATCCCATTCTCACCACCTCCCCCAAGGTGAATTATAATGCTATGGCTATGCCGGACCGGGAAGATTCCGTTCCTTTCAATAATTGTATCTTTACATTTCGTTGGGTATTAGTGGCTGCTTTTAGAGCTTTTAGTTTGATGCAAAGGGCCTGAGTGAACGGATAAAATACAATTGTGCATTTTAAAAAGTTGATAGTTGTTGTTATTGTTCAAAGTTGTTGCAAATGCAGGTGAAAAATAGATTTGCTTAATCCAGGAATTCATAAACAATACTCGCAATACTCCAATATTAAAAAAAATTCGTAAAAATATTTATCAAATTATGTTATGTTAGATATCAGGAGTTTCTTTAACACGAACTAGTCTTGATCACCTGGATTCATTTGCCGATGTTAAGGAAATGTCAAATTAAATTAGAAAAGGGCTAGTAATATTTCGAGTTTATGCATTCAGTAACCCTAATTCCCGATTGAAATACATATTTCAAAAAATTTGTTTCCGCAGGTATGCGTTCTAACGCACGTAGACGTACAACAGCACCGACAGTATGGTGTTAATCCCCTTAAGCAGAAAATCGGATCAGAGTGACGCATAGGAGCCGGTAATTGGGGGTTCACGTTACGGCATGTGGACGGATATGGACCCTACAACGTAGTACATAGTTCCAGTAACCGGGGGCTGCGTTGAGTTTTGTTTTTAAATTACTCAACAAACAAATGTATTTATCACGAGTTTTCTGTGGTTGGGAAGGGTGGAAATTTTTTATCTTTGTAAACATATTGGTATTTTTTTGAAGTATAGGTTTTTGTTATTAGCTTCACCTATCAAAAACAAATTTTTTTCATTGTAGTTTCGTTTTACTGCCCCGCCCTACCTCCACCTCTCGAGAAACAGTTGAGGTATTTTACGGCCAACAACAAATTACGGTTTAATGAACGAATATTCAAACATATGCAAGCACTGCAATTTACAAATACACACTGTGGTATTTTAATCCAAATCGCGTTTATATTGCATTTAAATCCTATTTTGATTAGGTGGTTAGACAACTTTATATTCAAATCAATTCTGAGAACCCTTTACTGAAAGTGAAAAAGTATTGATATTTTTATACAACGCTTTACATGCCTTTAACAATTAACAAAGACATGTGCAGGCGGTCACTGGCTTCGAAAAGAACCAGTATTCTATGAGGGACTGTAAGTTTTCTTATTCGTCATCGCCCACCCAAATTTATTATACCCTATGGGCGGTGGTAGGGATGATGTTGGAACCTGAACTCTGTAACTTATGATGCGAACATAGTTAAGTATATTCCTGAAACCAGTAGTCCGTCGCCAACTTTATTGTAAGAAAACCATTAACATAATAAATTTCGATGTTTTATAACTAAAGAAAAAATATGCATAAACAGACGTTTCTCCATGAATAACAAGGCACAAATCTACAATTCAATCGGCTATAATATTAATTTGAACGCGGGACATTTGATCGCTATTTGATAGATGATTGACGGGCAAATAACTGTCATATTTGCAATACTTTCACTTTAAAATGTCGCAAATTTATGAAAAATACTTGTTTTTCTCCGACTTCAAACAGAATCACCTAAAACACCGATTTAGAGACAGATATAGAGCAATTTCATTGTAGTTTATAAAATGTAACGAAGATAATTTGTTATGTAAGACTTGCAACCAATCAAGTTAAATTTAAATCTCGTTAGATGGACACAAAAAAATCACTTTTTTTACCTTTCTCAAAAAATGCACGCTATGTAGATTTTTTATGCAATCAGTGTGCGTCACGTAAAAGAAAGGGAATTTTTATATCGGGTTATTTGCGACATCGCGGCATCTGACTTTTCATATTCGTTTTATTTTATCGGAGAAAATTATTGGTATGACGCCAAGTATCTCTACTCACTTAGATTATAGTTTTTTACATCGTGTTTGAAATTTTCCGTTGTAAATGACCTTCTCTGCTTCGGCAAATTGACGCCTTTTTGTATAAGTAGAAACTGTTCGTATCTCGTCGTCGCCAACTTTGCCCTTAGCGAATTATGTAAAATGTGGTTGAAAGTTACTTCACACAAGGCCATCGCTGTGCGAAATCAACATCAATCCAGGTTCATGGTTATGCTTAATGCAAACTCCGTCAAAATTTAGTCAGTCGGCCAAATTGTTTTGTTCCTCGCGCTAATTACTTGTTATTGCACGACTTTTATCGTTACGGTTCACTTTGCAGTGTGGTTTATATTTTTGAACATCATTTTTTTTTCAAAGTACAAAAACAATGGAAATAACCGTCTCTGTTACGTTCTTTTCTACACAGACGTGTAGATTGTAGACATCAATCTAATGAGAAGTTTTTTCCCGCGTTAATGTCAAAGTAATGAGCGCTAACGCGAACAAGCGCGAGATGAATTGTCCAACAGAGTAAGTATTTCAATCTTGGTGTGTGATATCTAAAGACTGTATCAACCAAAATGTAATCACATTTATCGTGGTGTGTTTCTGACCTATGCAACGGGTAGATTCCTAGTCCCTTTAAAATCTAGGTCGCATATAGCCAAGCGCCATTCTGTTGCTACACTCTGGTCAATCCTTATATGGGCTGCACTGAATTCCAATTTATAAATTCCTCCATAATAATGACCTTGGCACAGAAAATGAGTCTTTGAAATTAGAAATATTGCAGAATTGAGTCAGTCATAATTTTCGTGCATTAGCGGAGCATCTGGCAATTTGCCGATGACCCTTCATTTTGACCGCAACTAATGAATACGTGACCGCCTACACACCAATACGATGTCAATGTAGTTGATTGTTAGTTTTTCTTCAACCAATTCAGTTTTAATGGAGTTCATTTTTAAAATGGTTCTCTACAAGAAACGTCTTGTGATGATTCAAAAAGTATTTGTTTCATTTGGGGTTCTCCACACTGTGGGTCCCGATCCCGGTTGGTTTGCGAAAGGGCTCAATGGGAGTAGTGGTAAAGTCTTTTTCAACAATAACTTAAGTTTAAACAAAATATCGATCAAATTTGAAAGATTTAGAACCAGTACTAAGACCCACCATCACCGAAATGGAGCCAAGATTCGAACTTTTGTGCAAAATTATACAAGTACATCGGTCCCATTAAAAGTATTGTCAGTTTTATTATTATTTTATATTAATATTATTTTCATTACTATTAAATTCTACTTTACTTTATTTTTAGTTCCTGGAGGTCGCGAAAACATTTGGCCGTGTCAAGTGGGTCGTGATGAAAAAAGTTTGAAGAACACTGATCTAAATTATTTGTGGAATTACTAATGGTTTAACTCATACTTAAGCACTTAACATGGTATGATATATTTCAATTGTTATTTGGGGATTGGGAATTTTGTCATTTCGGTGACAATTGGGACACGTATTCATTAGGTTAGAGTAAGCGTCGTTTTTTTTGAATCTTCCATAATATATTATCGTAATATATTGATAACGTGTTGATGTTTTGAGAATGACAGAAAAGTTTCACAATGTAGTTTTACCTTTGCTGCAATCGCGTTAACACTGTCGGAATTGGCACTTTTTTTTGAAGACCGAATGTACCAAGCCACGTATCCGCGTAGACACCTGCGAGTTTTGAAACCGTTCAATCATGTTTTTACCCACATGGGTATGAATACTGGTAAACAACGTCTAATTTGGGTCTTAGCTCTGCCAAAAACAAATAAAAGATTAAAGATTTCCATGCCTGTGGTGTAAAATCAACAAAATTCATTTCACGTTTTGAGATTCCCCTTAAAAATTGTATTTATATTTTGCAACAATTACGAGATTAACTCCAGAACCGATATCGCTTTCGCTTCGAGTCAATATTATTGTTTTACTACTTGTGGGGATGCATCACACGGTCACATGCTGAATAAACAGGTCCCTCATTCCCTTTAAGATGAATGAGTGTACAAGAATGCAGGTTTCCTGTTTTCGAGGTCTTTATACTCAATCGCTTTTAAATGTAAGTTAGTCTGGTAATTTGATCGATACAGTCGGTTCCAATTAATCTTAAACATGGTACATGCGTTTGAACTATAAGCATATATTTCACAAATGATTGTTTCGACTCATAAAACTCTATCGAGATTGTATGCATACCAGATCGTTATTTCTTCACAATTCAGTCATTTCGAGTGTTTTGATGCATAAAACAAGGAATTGTTGCCACAAAAAGTTGTTTAAACATTGCCAAAAAATAGGGGAAATGAATTATTTGATTGCATTGTTAAATACACACTTTTCTTTAAATGTTGCCAAGTCCTAAAGGAGGTAGCAATAAACTAAGCTCGCATTCTCAATACACAAAAGAATGCGAATGTATGTATGTTGCAATGCTATGAGTCGCATAAGGTTTTTGATAAGGCGTCAATGATCCGTGCTGTCATCAGCATACCGGATATTATTTGAGAAAAATTTACACAACCCCAGAGCCCAGGTCATTCAGGTTCAGGGGGGAAAGTAATCAAACTAGTGAACCTGTGAGACTCGGAATGTTTAATCCATAACAAGTTAGGTTTACAAAACAATTTTCAAACTTTAGACAACTCGTTTCACTATGCCCAAAGATATCCAAAAAGTTACTCGGTTTGCTATTGCCCAAGCGTCTATTGCTAGGAATAACAACCTAACAAGAATTTATACAAAAAGTTTTCGCAAGTACAAGCTACATTCCCACTTTATACAGAAATTGGAGGTAATTTGGGGTCTATGGTTTTGTTTATTTCATAAATGCTTGTTTCTCTAGTGCCGGTTGTGATGCAAATGCAGAAACTGCTGTAATACCCATTGTATTCTTGACTTTAAGTGGAATAATAATTCAGAATGTAATATGACTAATTTATTTGTCACGCGAATATTGAAAGCTTAATTCTCGATGCTGAGTGTAGCTTCAATACCCCTTCACCAAGTTTACAACACCCTTTAATACAACAAAAGTGACAATAAATAAATATATTCTGCTAGCTCTTCAGAGTATCATTGCAAAAGTAAGACCCGATATTGTATTCACAAAATTCACAATTCGAAATTAAAATTTTTTCTATTGAAGTTCACTGTTTATCTTATCTTAGGAATGTTGGTAATCATTGAATTTTCCTAAATACTTATCCTGAACTCATCAACATCCCTTAATGTGGTTATGTACTATTCTGACAACTCATAACGGATTTTCCGGATTAGACTATGATAAATATCCAAGATAATCATTGGCATTCGAGAACCAGAACTCTGACTAATAGGCGTTAAACCGACCAGTAATTAACAACCCATAAAACGTTGTTATCTCTCTGTTATCAGCAGATTTCTAGGGTAATTTTTTATAATATGCACTAATATTGCTGAGAAGCATTATCATGGGTCTTTGGCCTAATCAAACGTTTTTATTGGTTGATTCATTTATGTCTGACTCTATATGTAAAAGCACCTGATTTTCCCTGCTTCTGCTAGTTATTTTGCAAAAACACTATCAACCGCACTAAAATTAGGAATTTCCCGACAATTCTGAAACAACAGAAAGAATCAATTTATCATGGTGATATGATTACGAGTGAAACATGGATGGAACATGTGTGGTAATTTTTTTATAAAATTAAAACTTTAATAATAGTTTTTTAAATCGAATTTTTACGTTATATATTGAATTGTGTTCCACTCATAAATAACGCAATGGCTCTTTGAACTGTCGTGTGCAGTTGTTGACAAGAGGTGTCATCATTGTTATTGGTTCAAAGCGACTCAAACACACCTACACTGAAGTAGGCCGGCAAGAATGACATTTATAAAGTTTTTTCATTCAACGAAGGCGTTCTAATCTTCAACCAGATCCACTGTATAAAAATTCCGAGTATTTCGGTTTTCAAACGTCCACCCATGTTCAAAAAAAGAGAATATTCCATCCTGTCCTAATGTACTAACGCTCATAATGTTAACTGTTAAATTCAATGTAATTTTATCCTCGTTTATAATAATACTCTTACCTCTGATTAGATTTGTTGATTCCAATACTTAGCTACAAGAAAGAAGTTGAAAGCCACGAAAACAGTATAAACAGTTTTAATACCTTAATCTTATTATTAGCTTTGTGAGTCGGTTGCATAATTTAGGCGGAAAATGTTGATGACTAAATAAATACCAGGAGTTCGAATCAGCAATTTTGTAGCCATCTATTTTGTTTCGTTTTTACTCATATTATTTTTTACATTTTTCAAAAATTTAACATTTTTTCAATTGTGAGTAAGACACGGTTTTGGGGAAACTGTCGCTGGAGTAACAGACGGCTTTCGCTCAGAACGAGGTTCAGGGCAATAAATTCAAAACCTGGGCGAGCTCCGTCTCGCTCGAAAAAGAGATAGTTATTCGAAATGTCAGCATTAGCTACCATCGCACGATACCCATAATAAGGTCGCTGATTCCCACTAGCAACGATGTGCTAGCATTTTCGTTTCTTTTAAAAAAATCAAACTCCGCGCAAAGCAATTTCTATACTTATAATCTCTGCTCAGATTTTCTTTCTTATCTGATTATTTTTGATCGGTTATGATGCATCAATACGCCATTTTTACTGCACGGGGCTCTGTACGAGAGGCCACTGCTAGGTAAGTAGCTATTATAGCTTGTGATAACCGGAATCTTTCCCATTCTGCATTGGGTACTCCCGTAATGTGTGTACCAGGCTAGGGTCAGGCCATAATTTTATTCCTAATCATCTTATTACAGTTCTATTACGAGTTCGGGGACTGTCTGTGTTAGTCAAGTGAATATACCCCCTGCCCATAGGTTTCCGTCCCTTCACACAACTTGATGTGAAATAGGCGAACAAAATTAGTTACCTCCATATTATTTCACTTCTGGAGCGCCCGGCATTCCCAATCTATTCACACCCTGGATGAGAAGGGGGGCATGAGATTTTCACCCCAGCCTTTAACCCGCAAAGTCTTCATATTTGAAACTAGGCCATCGTGCCCCAAAAAAAGTAACTCCAAATAAGTTTGTTTTTTCACTCTTTTATTTCCCGAAACACACACACATTACGACGGGAAAATAAAGCAATAAATAGGAACATTGTGCAACAAGAAAAGAAAGCCACACAGTGATAATATGCAAGACAATTGACAACATTAATTATGATGTCATAATATTCACAGTGTGACGTCATTCGACAATTCCGTGTAAATATTCTTTCTTTATTCTGATTAAAATCATTTTAGTCACGGATAATTGTGATATTAGTTCTCAATTTGACAACATTTCTTGCTGCAATGAATGCGTATCAGTAATATAATCAGTCCAAATGAAGGGACATGGTAGATTCAACTGTGAATTCGTAAAGTTATATTTAAAGGGGATTCCCAAATTAATTATAAAAATCTGTTTTTTCAAAAATTTCTGCTAGTGGACATTATTTTATTTATTTTTTTCTATTGTATATGTTCTTTTAGCTGACTTTTTAGGATTTTCCACGAGATAAGTCAGTTATGATCAATCAATCTAAACTGCGCGCAATCAGGATTTTGGAATGCCAAATATCCCGACCTCCAATTTTAAATTATTTCTGTTTAAATATCCTAATTTCTAGTTGACCATTGGCAATCATAAAGTACATTTTACGCACAGGGGCGAAGTGCAAATCTCAAAGTGCAAAAATTGAACAATAAGTAATAAGAAGAGATTGAAGCAATATGCATAGTTTTAAAGTTTTCATGGTCAAGCAGTTCTTTGCCAGGGGGATTGACCTTTTTTTGACTGAAATTTTGTTTTCGTTTACTGATAAATATTTGATATGAACAGAAGTTCTGTGTTAATATTATATATAATTGCTTAAAATTTTTATCCTAATTTTCGTTGTATAACAAGACAATTTTTAAATTCTCTCAACACGGAACGAATTTTCAAAAATTGAATATTTTTGGTTGAATTACGAAACTTTAAATTCATGTTCAAAATTTTTTGGTTATGTTATTATCAACCACTATCATACGGCGTGGTAAGTTTCCAAGTGAAGTTGTATGTACATGTTCATTATATACATTTGCTATCACAAAGACAAACCACCACACATGATAGTATCGCATTATTTGGATAAATAAAAAATCTTATATACCATAATAACGTTCACTAAGGTCATTTAGTTTCATGAAAAATGTCTTTAAATTCCAGGTAAGCAAGTCATAATTGGCGAATGTAACACTTTTGAAAAATAGGCAAGATTGGGGTAGTCATATTGCGAGATAACCCTTAGTAGCTGTTCCGAGTACACAAAGATGGATTCGATTATATTTTTTGAATTGAGATGAGCGTGGGAATTCGGATTGATTGTAAGAGCTCTCAATTCGACCTTGTGACAAAATTGATTGACAACACTAATGGTTTTCTCGCAAATGTAACCATCACGGCAAGATATACGTAAGCTAGAATATAGTAAGCTTTCCATATCTTGAATCGTGTGAAACAACCGTTTATAGTTCTATATTGACCATAGAGTCTGATGTATAATCTCCATATATAATGAACTCTTCGTTCTATGAACGTGTGCCATTGCACACTCTTTGACTTTTTTATGTCCTTTGCAAAGTGGTGTACTTTGACACCTTTTCTAGTGCTCTTCTTCTTCAGCTCTCACAGCGATTTATTTCTATTTTCCTTTTATCAATGACTTATTGCGTCATCAAATGATGACGTCATTTATCGAAAAATGTTTATCGCTCCCACATGCTCCCTATAGTCCGACAAGCAACTTGTCCTGCTGCCGTCGATCGTCTTCCCTGTATGCTGTACGGCTGTTCTATACTTCGAAGTTGTGTGAACTGTAACAAATATATTAAGTATAAATTTTTCTGTTCAATAATGCAATATAAATCAGTCAATACCCAAATTATTCAATTAACAATAAATGTTACAGAGGAAAACTGTGTGAAAACAACAATTTTGGTTTTATTTTAATGTTCATTTTCTAGAAATTTGTAACGTATAAAATACACACCTGAGCTTTGCTTAGATATAGATGATTTTTGAAAACTGTCCAAATGTATTCTTCACATGGAGCAGTTGTTGTCGACCCTTGATACCGAGTGTACTCAAGCAATCTATGACTTAAATAAACAATATCTCGTCGTGATGCGTCCTCTCCGATCAAACTGTAAGACAAAAATAAATTTTTATTTCTATTTGTATGGGATTGACTTTTGTATTCTATTGTATTGTTATCTGCTGAGTCGAATCACATTGTGGAAAGATGTTATATTGGATAAATTACGATTATTTGGTGTTTGGTAATTCAAGAGTCTTGCTACGCGGAATTTTACCGAAATATATATATCTTAGTCGTATTTCATTTCATTAGTATTCATTGACTTACTTTCTTAAGCTCGGTGGTGAAGTTAGCGTATATGTATCTCCGACTGATCTGCAGTTGATTCTTGCGAGTGGAATGAATTCTGCCCATGCTGGATTCGGAGGGTTTTGTCGCTCCTATTAAAAAACAAACAACAGTTTATCAAAATGCTGATTCGATGTAAAATAATTGAAACATTTTATTTAGTATTAGCAAATAAATTGGGAGTGAATTTTAATAACGGAAACGAATTGCGAAATTGCAGATTAATAAATTTGGATATATTCGCATAATTATAGACTAATTTATATAACTGGAAACGTAACTGCATTTTTATTCTGTGTCAAATTGTCAGGTACGCTTTGATACTTTAATACAAAACTTTCAGAAGTATTTCAATTTAACGCGGGCCTCTGAAGATGTTTTTGTCAAAACAATGGCGCAAGCAATAGAAGCACAATTCAGTTAAGGATGTTCAAAACTGGTAAATATGCAACAAATTTGTAATTAATTTTGCAGTAAAGTGAAACAGTGATCGACTTTTTTCGTTGGGATTTTTTTCTATTGATTAGTATTATATTTCAAAAATAAGTAAGCAATAAACGTAGTAGATAGGTAAGATTGTTTGTTTTGGCTGAACAATCTTTAGTTTTTATTCAATTAATGGAATATTACAGTAAATTTCTTTTATATTTTCTAAAGTACTCACCGAAATAAAGAAGGCAATCGCGTGCTTTTTTCCTCCAACCTTTTCATTAATGTCATGGAATACTTGAATCTAAATAAAACAGTTAAATTTAGTCTGTGAGCGTGTCATATTGATGAATCAAAACAAATAAACGATTTTATCTATAGTTCGTATGTTTTATATTCACGGGAGTTGCGAGCAATTTTGATTCTTTGACGCTTCATTTGTTGATCTCGTTTCCGCAACAAAAACCGAAGTATTGATATTACCGGCTTGTGTATTTGGATATTGAGTAATTCCACATTCATCGGGTTTTATTGGTTTTGTAATACTTTTAGTTTAGCAGTTCAGCTATTTAGAGTGCAATTTTAAAGGTTTTAGAGTGGCATGTATTAATATGATCCCCATAGGCATAGGGTTTCGACATTTTTCAAATTTGTAATATCCGTCTGTGATTTTTCATATTAATACTTACCAGAATAAATCAGTTTCATGCTATTCTCATATTCGGAATTTGCATAAGAATGTAATATTATACTAAACCGCACCGAAATCAAAACAACTTCAATTTTATTGACATATCAAAGTCATTTAATACGAGACGATAGACATTTGATATTATGTGCTAAATATTATCTGAACGCAAGTTAAGATATCAGTATATATAGGATAACATGTTACACAGTTATGCCGCGCTAATAAAATATTGGAGTTATGGTTTGTATCGTATAGTTACGAGTCTCGTATTGCATTTTTTAATACGATGAGGGTATGGCTTTCAAACTAGCAAATCTTATTTATTTATCACCATTCCAAATTAGTATTTTGTGAAATAGATCAACGCTACCTAATTCAATCTCATTACTAACAGACAATCAACTTCTACGAAGAGAAAAAAGTTAGCGATTCACTCCCCCAACGGAGACTTTGATTTTGCTTTTATTTAATAATTTCTAACATGCGATACATGATGCGTTAAATCCGACATTATCGCGGATTTAAGCCGTTTAGGAACATTTTGCAAAATTTCAAGGGCTATTGTTCTATAGAACAATATAGTAGAAATTTTTGCGGCAATGAGGGTTTCTTTTAAAACAAAAGTTACCCGTTAGTTGGTTTAAATAATTAGCAATCCACACAATTCGGTTACATTAGCAACTCCCTAACCCGCATCTGTGGTCAACGATTATTATGCAATTTACTGATATTCCGAGAAATATCAGTTTTTCAGACTCATAAACTACATAATTTCATCAACATTTATCGAGACTAAGAATGCAAACCATTTTGACATATTTTTTACGTTTTCTTACCTCGCCAGCATGCCGATATGGTCCATAGGAATGTTCTGATCCAGTTTTCGCGTGTTTTCCCCATTTTATTCTAATTGTGTGAACGTTTAAGTAATCGACGTCTCCATTGATATTAATTCTTGTCCTTAGTGAACCAATTGGGTGAATCTTGATTTCAACTGAAAATATAAAATGATAATTAGCATTGAGAAAATTATTTTGTTAATCTTATGATTCAAATTTCGACGCTACATAGACAACGTACTTCACTTCATTCGTGAATGTATACCAATCTATCGCCTGGCCGTAATTCTCTGTTTATTTATTATTGGTAATACTCGTTAGGCAGTTTCTACGCAATTTCTTATTAAATATTAAATTTTCCTCAAAATATTGTAAGTCTCGATGTCTTTTCATAGATAGGCATAGCTACTTCATTTGTAAATATCGTTCATAATGTACAATGTACACGTAACAAATTATCTGATAGGTAAAATCTACGATCTAATAATAACTTACGATCTGCCCCTGTGTTCGTCATTTCCCATTCGCAGGACGAATCCTGTTCCCAGTCATAACTTCCCAATTGTTAACTGTTTCTGATTTATCACATTTTGGAACTGCGCTGCTGAATGGTAGAAACGCGTTGCTGTAGGGAATTTCTACACACCGATGGTGAATCTACACAAAAATGAAAAAAGTTTCAAATTTTCAATCGGCGTTATAATGTTGTTTATAAGTTTATATATGTTATTTATATTATTAATGTGATATATTTTTTTACGAGATAGTTATATCTGATTACTAATTTGAAAATTATGTTTCGAGATGCGGCAAACTATTACTTTTGTTCGCCGATTTCTCATAGCCACTTATTAAAAGGCGCAACAAAAAATTATTCCCGATGTCGATCTCGTGCATGTTTCACATGGGCAAAATAATATGATGGTCAAATTCTTACCTTCGTGACTAGGATTGCTTTGAAAACGGGAGAATTCTTCCGTGTTTTCTTTGATGCTGTTAAAATAAAACAAATTATTAACGTTCCGATATTTTTGCGACCTCAGTATCTACAAGCTTATGTTTTTGTTGAACTTTTATTTTATTTAGGCGTTGTTATAAATTGTTTTACTGACCTTTGCCTGAAGTCTGTGCTGTGGCAAAGCAAGAAACGTTGATGTTCGCCATTCTGGGTTTGGCGTTCTTCGTCGTTTACGGGTTGTGTAACGCCCTCAATGCATCTTGTACACATTGTTCCTGTAAAATAGGTTTGTTTATGAATAAAATTAAACCGATTCTACATCTGCTATAATTATGATCATCTCAACTTTTGTGCTATATTTTTCGTGTAAACGTATCACATCATAATAGTGATTTTTGCTAGTCAGTGTCGTTCGGAGGCGAAATTTATTTGAGTTGGGATCAGAATATGGTTTAGATATACTTTGATATGAATACCTCATTTGTTGTAAGAATATTTCTTACCGGCACGGTTCTGTCCACATAGCTTAATAGCCATCCCATGTCTCCAGAATTTTTTTCTTTTTCTTCACGGATAAAATTCCCGCTAGGCATCCACGTTCTCGCTTTCTTCTTATGATACTGAGAAATCGAGCTGTGGTACGCACTTTTCAATAACTTTTGCTTGCCCTCACCCATTGTTGACACATATCTAATGCTCTCTACTTCCGTTCGTGACGTAATTCCGATCTGAAGATGTTTTGTGTACCGTGTTTGGTCTGTAATGAAAGATGAAGATTGTAGTAATGGGGCAGGTAATTGCTTTGCACCATTGTATTATAGTATAGTAGTAAGTAATTTGCACCTAAAGGCCTGGTCAACACTTATAATCAAGGTCTATTCAATGGTGGCTTAGCTATATCTCTACAGATTAAATTGTTTCTCATACAATGCAATGATAAATTCATTTGTCACTTTAGCTTCCGATTCAAGTAATGGCGCGATCTATCTCTTCTTCGTTTTGTCCTACGCATGATTGAGTAATATTGAGTTATCATATCCCGTCCGATACTCGGGTCATACGTCTGCACTGGTGTAAACATTCTTTATTTTGATTATCGTAATGGACAATAGACAGAATGAGGACTGGGCTACCCTGTATCAGGCCACAGCAACTGTGGGCACTGGTTGACCAACTTTAAACTAAATATTTCCGTATTATAATATGAAAGGTTTATTATATACGGCGGTTTCAAAAAGTAACTAACCACTCACGACATATTGGCGCTGGACCCTTCCCTATTACTCAAACATATCCCCTTATACGCAATGCACACGCCCCTACAATAGGCGCGGTCGATCTTTACAACCGTTTTTGCATTCGCTAATTTTAGTTCATCAAATTAGTATTATGTCATAAATCATTTTATTTGTCATTGTGATATCACAATAGATATTCTTACCATTTATTGCAAAAGAAATTGTGAGTATTCACTGATTTCACACCCACAAGACTATCACGGTTTATATGACGAACACAAGGAAAAATTTTCACATAGATTATTATAGCATAATACGATAAAACACGTGACTCAATATTTCACTAAATATACAAATTTGACTATTTTCAATGACATTTTTACGTCAATACGTGTGATGTCATACTTCTCAGGAATACTTGTCATACTGAATTTGTAAAATAGAGACTCCAGCTCCTTAAATATACATAAATACCAGATTGAATATGTTATAGCCTTGACGCATCAATGTCGGAACATTAATATGAAAATACACACGCATGTTTTCTCAGCATACGGTATGATATAATAAATTTTCAAAGTTGATAAAAGAAGCATTTTTAAACACGTTTATCCACTTTTTATGTCATACGGCGAAGCGTGCGCTATGGTTAATAAAGTTACTCGAAATGCACCTGGTAAATTTAAATTAATAGGAAATAGGTTTCTCCGATCATGGTTATTGTTGTAACATGACACATAGCGTGGAATTTGAAGTCGCAGGTGACCGCACATTATTTAATGTTTACATAATTCAGTGATATCGCAAACAGACTCCAGTACTCGGTAAGAAACCAGAAATGAGCAAAAATTTATTTTGAGTACGCTTGGCCAGATATAAAACGCTCCTGTGCATACAAATATTGTGTGGTTAGCAAATCAAACTTCAAATAAATTACAACGAAATCGTTTTACATTTTATGAGTTTTGATAATAATGCACCAATGCATACTTTTGTCCTAATAATCACACCAATGAGGTAACCCAACACCACAAACGCTTGGTTATTTTACCACTTATAGAAACGCAATACGCGTGAAATTATTATGACCTATGCAAAAGGTAAACTTTGATTAATCACATCCAACAGGATGCATCTGAATGTCACAAAAAATTTCCCAATTATAAGTAATTTTAAACTATACTTTTCTAATTTTAGCACTTTCAATAGTTTTAATGTAATATAATATTTTGTTTGGTATTTACCTAAACAATTTGAATATTGATTTTTTTCTGTTTCCAAATTTAGTATTTTACGTGAGTTTGGAATAATATATAAACAAAGCAATGTTTTGAAAGATAAACAACAAAAATAGTTATTAAATTTGGGGGGTTTATTTCCTATAAAAAACTAATTTATCAGTCGCAAAGTTTCAATTATTACTCAGATGCGTTGTCATTGTTGTCTGAGAAATATATTTTCGAAAGCGCAGGCAATAATTCTCAGAAATGCGACGAAATTGCGAACTCGTTTTAGGGTGAAATGATGTTATTCTGAATCCCTCTTTATATATTCCACAAATATTTTAATGTTGAAAATTGCCTAGTCGTTAGTTTGTGACCAACTCCGGTTTCCTACGAAGAAAAATCTAAAATGCAGACAAAAACGAAAATCTTATAATGCAAAGTCGCGATCAAATGCGAACTTTCTTTTATATTTCAATGTAAAATACAGTAACAAATATCTAACTTTTCATATGAATTTGTATGTATACTCCCTTCTAGGAAAGCTTTTCAAATTAGGTTTTTCTACATTCTCATCAGCGCGTGAGTGTTGCTCTTCAACATTAGTAATACGTGTTATATTGAAATTGAATTACGGAGAAATCACAATAAAATTTCAATTTTTTATTGAAGCGATATGAAACCCACTATAAAGCCAAAGAATTTTAACTTTGGGGAGAGGTTTTCGCTCAGTCGTGATTTGTTTGTTATTATAGATGATAAGAGAATACCGTCGCCGCCATTGACCTTGTAGGGCATTTTTTGGGTATTATTCGCGGTTGTTTATGCTCTATTTTTTCAAAAACTGCCATTTTGTGCTCAATTTTTGAATTATAGTTGCTATTTTTACCTTTTATGCTGACTCAATAGTCAAATTACAGAATTACAACAAATACAAAGTTTTAGGAAACGACTGGTACGAATAAAAATAGAAGATTGCAGCAGTTATCATACAGTTTTAACAAACCGCGAATTTTGAAATAGTTCCAATAAATACATGTATAACTTGACCAGAACGAACTTCGCTTTTGTATATTTTCTTAACCTTCTCTTCTAAATATGCAGCAAGTTCAAATCGATGAGATACAGTCACTGAGATACAGTTTGACTGAAGGTTTATAAATATGAACATGACCTACAAGGATTAATTTCTATATTTTAGGAATGTATCGCAAAATTTTATTTCGGGAATTTCTTATTTTTTGGTTTCATTCATTGTACAACCTATCCAACTGTTACATAAAAGTTGTATTGAAATAATAAACTCAGCATTTGTTACCAAACTCTGAAATAAAATCGCACCGACATCGTGGTATCTGCCCTTCATTGATTGATAGATATCGTAATTTAGGACAAGAGTAATTTATAGTTTCGAACACGTGCTTATACATAGACCTAAATTAATTCGTCCATGTTAAACTTTTCCTTGACTTTTAATTTGGATTTTTTTTGTTTCACTCAAATCCGGCACGCATTAATTTTTTTTGCATGAAAAAAATAACGTTGATGCCATTTACGGTGTCAAAATTTGGAACTGCGTCAACTTATTCAGAGGAATTTATAGGATCTTCCCACAGGAAGTAATGGATTACACACTAAAAAGTAATTTTCTGGTTGACGTGAGACATTTATGACCTAAGCTCGTCGGGCAAATATAGCCCCTACTAGTAAGCTAGAAAAAAAGATTGAAATTTTTTTACTGAAGTGTGAGATACCTTTCATCGAAAAGATAACAGAGCAATAAATATGTCGTTAACGCGAACAAACTTGTCAAAAAGTTGTCAACAAGTGGTTTCGGGTACTTGAAAAAGACAACAAAACAAACCTTAGAATAAATTTTTAGGTGAAGAAAAAAAAAGGTGATGAAACAACTCCATATATGTATATATATTTAATTACGTGTTCGCTACTTTATATTTAAAACTGGAGGCATTTCAAATTTGCTAAAATTTTCAAATAACTGACTTTCAACATTTCAGAATTTGTTTACTCGCAAATAGCAAAGGTAAAAAGCGGAAAGATTACATAAACGATTACAATGTTTCACGGTATAGTAACATTTTATACTTAATCGGCATTTGCAAAAACAACAAACTGATGAAAAGGGTCAATGAAGTTTTTTTTTATTCATAAATCGCCATGTTCACAACAGAGATATACAAACTGTTAAATTAGCTTGCTTTACGTGCAGTGTGAAACTGCACATTTTTTTATAAGTATATGCCATCTGTGATATTGTAAGATAATTAATAGGAGCTTTGTCGAAATTATTACTTGCCTTTGTGCTATAGATAAAGTCTATATGTCAACAATATTTACAACTCTTGCGCACAAACGGCTCCAATTATGATTGAGTCTACGAAGGGATCAAAAGGCCGGCACGATGTATCACAATGTCAAAACAAAATATCCAAATTGTCATATTACACTTTGTTCATGAGCTTTCTCCAAGCTTTTAATGAACGCCATTTGAGCCCCAAAAACGCAAATGAGACTCAAAAAATTCCCACGATACGCTTCGGCATATAAGGCGCTGGATTTGAGAACCAATGTCGAGTTTGTGGTCGGTGACACATAAAGTGCGATAAACTTAAAAGCATTTTTCCAAGAATTTTTTTTTTAAATATACGTGAAAAGAAGCTCCTCAACAATGGTTGTTCAGATAGAGAATTGGAATAAAGTTCTTTGACAACAGAACAACACTTCTACCGATGCTATTTCTAATATTAGGTAACAGGTAATTTTTGTTAGGCACTGCACAGTTTCAAATTTCCGTTTCAATTTAATAAACGGTGTATATGAAGATGGAGATGAAAATCCGATTTTTTATACAAAACGGTAAAAAATATAATAAAAGTTCAGTTTTGGTGGAATGTCACGCTCTTTACGACAAATATTTCATGTTTTTCCACAATATAATGCTTTTTTGTGCTCTGTGCTCGTAATCGGTTTTTATTGCAACAAAATTGCTTTCGCAGGTTGTTAGAGCTGCTTCATGCGGTCGCCAGATTTCTATCGGATGCATTTGATCACCGAACATTGCGAAATGTTGTCAAAGGCACGTTCATTCTCCTTTTTATTGGGTTTCATTTTACTAATGTCTCCAACATTCCCGATTAACGAAACAGTACTTCTATGATTTTTTTAATTTAGTATAGAAACAACTCAAATTTTTCTATTTAGTAGACTATTTTTTCTTTTTGTAGATTTAATGTGAAATTCATAACATTAAATATCAAATACTTTACAAGTTTTTGATTGGAGTATAATCTTTTGATAAAAATCATAATATCTGTAACCCGTTTGATCTTTTGCGGCAACACTAGTTAGAAAAAATTACTACAAAAGCTGGGCCAATGACGGAGACGGCCACTTCCGTCTCTCAATGAGCCTGCCGGGGTGGGCGTCTGCTTCGGCGCCATTGACCAAAATTTTTCCTAAACAAGCCATTTTGTTTAACTTTTCGATGTTCAAGTACTCTACTGATGTTCGAGATGACCTTCCAGTAATCTGCTGCCAAAGAAGCATCAGTTTTATTATAAAATAGTCGCAAATCGACTTTGTGACGTCTGAAATAAATCGAATCGAAATGAAAACTGAGAACTAAAAACCTTTAATTTAGTAAAAAGTTGTCACAAATCAAATTTGTAATGCTCACAAATATTGGTTGCAAAAGAGCGTTCCTTATAGCAAAATGTTTTATTGTAATTCATTTGTTGTTTATTCAGTTTTGAATAAAATAATTATGGAATTAGGTCGAGCATGAGACTAAAATGCGCCCACAAAGCCAATGATCCTGCTATCTTACCACTGCGACTCAAGCACAAATTTCATCGTCTCGTCAGCTATTACTTAGATTACAATCATATCAGAGATAATTCAAAGGTGAGGCCTCGATATCTTCAAATCGATGCGTAATCTTCTCAACACGAGAGTTTTTATTCACAATTCGCATACCATCGTAACCTCAAAGAGATATAATTTCAATCCAAAATTTTCTTAGTGCCCGCCGTTGCCGTATAACAGAGAAGAATTTTGCGACAAAAGCCACCTGGTAGATGTTATCAATTCTGTTTACAGCATTTTCAAAGCCTGTTTACCTAATATTTGAACCCAAAACACCCTGTTTGAATTTGTTTTTAAATTTTTTGTCATTATTTTTATAATTTGGCAACAAATATTGGTTAAAATTGCCCATTTTGTGTGAGTCAATGAATAAATATTTAAGGAAAATGACTTTAAAATCAGGTGCAAAACGTTATTCGTGCTTTAATCTAGGCCTTTTAAGTTGTTTTTGAAGTTTTTAGACAAACTCAAGCAATCTTATTTCATGTTTTACCGTGGTTACTGTGCAAATTTTTCTTCATTTTTATCAATGAATTCTTTTAATATGGTATTTAATCATTTCATGTCCTCTATTTGCTGAATAGTTTGAAATATTTTATATGCCGCAATCATGCAGCGAAAGTTCTTTTTTCGTGAAAAAATGAATATCATAAGGAATTCCGTTGCCAAAAACAGAATAATTTTTGATAACCATAAACAAACTTACAGGAGCTAAAATTAATCGTATATTCCGCAAATATTTCATGAATTTTATCTTTCGAAAACAAAAATTTTCTCCTAGGTTTCACTAACTTCGAGGAAATCACGGGACAACACAGTTTCATAATTCGTGAAAGAACGTCGCATGTGCCGTGCTCATGTACATGTCTTTGTATTTGGCGTATTGAAGATTAAACACCGCAAGACATAGGGCTGTTCATGTCCAAAATAAATAGAACGTCTTCATAAATGTCATCAATTTCGCAAATATGTGATTTTCATGTCACAATGACTTTCTAAATCACCTATTATTACTTCACAATAAGGCTTACAAAATGAAGACTCAAAAGAAATGAAGCTGTGCTGGGTTAGATTTCATTTCCTGCATATTTTAATTTCCGTTACATATCGTGGGTATATGTTGTTATAAAAGGTGGGTTATTCATTAACCCAGAACAAGACGACATTGTTACCCAGATTGACACATCTTAATAGACTGATTGCACATTTAATAAATACCGTTCTACAGACGGGAGGAGTCGTGTATCACCTTTTTTTGATGATTTAGTATCATTACGTTGTTTTATATGAAAGCTTCTTTTTTATATGTTGAGAATGGAAATTCTTTTCCATTGGGTAAACTTTGTTTTTATGGAATAAAAATTCTATAGTAGTATGTGCACAATCGACTTTAAAAACTTATTCAATCCAAGCACAAGTTAGCACCATCTACGGGCATCTCTAGTTATATTCGAATTTCTGACTAAAATATGAATAACTATGTTATCATGTAGTCGCATATCACGAATTTCGGGCGGATGGAATTTTTGAACTATTTCCAGACTTCTGACATGAGACTTCGTTTAAAAAAAATTGTTCATTATATACATAGTCATCATTATTAACTCGATTTGTGTATTCATATTGGACCAATTTCCCTATCGCTTTTATTTTCTCGTTATAAATACTCTAAAACAATAAGAGACGCACAAATAACACAGTGAGCCGTAATTACACGTTAACACGTTGCGAACGAGAAGTGAAGTGAAGCATATTGCGTACGTTAACTCTGCGTAAGGGTTAGACATATATATCCATTCTATATTTAGTCTCACGCCGTAAGGATTACATTCTAATTTTAACTGCGTATAATTGGCAACACAGACGAATATGCGTGCATAATAAGTAGGAACCGATTCCCCGAGAGTTGAATTTCATAATTCTTTAAATGGGAATTCTCAATGACTCACGTTTAAGTAATTAAGCGTGCCCTAACCCCCATGACTTTGTCAGAAAACGTTGTAAAAATGCGCCGGATCATTCCTTAGCTCATTTGTTATGCATGTAACTTGATAGTCGTTTGACTCGTTATGGTTCAGAGTTGTGTATTCAGACGTCCTTTGAGAAATTTGTATCGTAGTTTGAACAATTTCTTTCCTTTTTAGACACGAAATATTCTTTATTTGGGAATTTCCCACGCAAAAATTCAGACTGTTTCAGATATTTATTGGGACCACGAAAGTGAAAATGTAATACGAACAGCATTGACTCAGAATTTCTATTTTCATGCTCGAAACCCAAGAATCGTTAGGAGATTGCGTGATTAAATTTTCGGGGTTTTTGTGTTCGAATTCTGATGCTTAAGATCTTAGAGTCAGACCAAACTATTTTCAGAAGGAAAAAACCATTAAAAATGCAACAGTTTGAATTTTAAAACGAATGCGATTTGCTGCGATTATTTTAGAAGTAAATTGACTTGTGCAATGAATGTAGTGTAATAAACTACTGAAATCCTTCTGGCGAAGTAGCAATTTAAGGCCAGTCTGTGTTTGTATTCTTGATTTAAGCCTCGTTACGCAAGTATGCATGTCTATCACTCTAAATAGACGGAAGCGTTGCGTAGTGATTATATCCGCTTCTATATTAAGAAACACATTACGTTGGAATGACTAAACGTTTATATTTTGCCACACCAGATGCTCAGTTCGTTAGTATACTGCGTTACTGACGAAAGTGAAGCCGCAACAGAAATTATAAGCGTAATTCAAGATTCCCTTCGAAAATCTACACCAAGTTACACAATGGTCGGAAAATAAAACAATTTTTTCAAATTTATTTGACAGGTTTCAAAATTTTGTCTGATGACTTTAATTCTGTCAAAGTTGTGAACATTATGACGTAAAAATACTTTATCCAATAACCCGATTATGTTCTCACAATATTGTGGCACAACAGTTCCAAGCCTTCGATGAAACAATTTTAATTTGAATATATAAAGCTTGAGATTGTGGTTAATACATAAGATGACATTACGGCATTTCGGGCATATTTTGTATGTGAACATAACATTTTTGTAGCGACAGACTTAATTATTTTTCTTTAAATTCAGAATTGCTTTTATGAAATTGTAACGGTCAAATATAGGACGAACATTGCAATTATAAAAATCAAATCATCTCAGTAGGGAGGGAATTTTACAGTTTATTAAATTCGTAATTAAGTGTTTAGCTTTGTATTGATTTTTTTATACTCCTTTATGCTAAATTACAATCATTCTATATTCTCTAAAACAAGGAAACGCGTTACGGGAGAGCGTGCTTTGTATAAGGAAACGCCGCCGCGTCTTTGTTAGTCTGTAAACAAAAACAGTCACGGGAATTTGTCGAATCCTTGGAATTTAAAGAAAAATTGTTTTGCTTTTAGTTGGAGCATACTAGTGTTTGTACACCTGTTATCAGCTAAAGCGAAATTTTTTGCATAAGATGTCAAAAAAATACTTTAAATCGAAGGAAAGTGTATTGAATCTATATTTAAATGTTTGTTTTGGCGATGGTTCACTTATTCGAATCAAATTCAAGTTTTAGTGCAGCGGTATGCGCACCTCGCACTATGTGCGGATGTTGAAAGATGCATATCTAATTTAAAATCCAATTAGGGCGTCTGTCGGTCAAAAAGTTGCTTTGAAACATTATTACCCCTTTTCAGAATATTTCCAAAAATGAACCCTCTCTTTTGGATAAGGATTATCGTTGCCACATTTTTACCGATCGCTTTATCCGATACACCAGCAGTAATTCTGTCATTTGGTTTTATTTCTCGCGTTGAACCTATTAGAGCATAACCTTATTTCACTTACTAAAGTGTAGCTACCATTTATATTTCGTTACGGTATTTTGCAATCATTTCACCGCATTTAGCACGCTTTGTCACGATATCACGCCCCAAAAATAACCGAGTTAAAATTTTCAATATTACCATTTGCTTCGCGGAATAGCCGAAGTCACACAGAATCAAGCATAGTCATAGAAAAAAACATTGATATTCTACCATACATGCTAGGGCTTACTACAAACCACGCTTGCGTGAAGTTGGTTGGGAATTTTTATCTCGTTAGATTTCCGCCGAATATTATATTGAAGTCCGCGAACTCACCTATAATTTACTCCAGGTGAAAATAAATAAAAATAATCATTTCTATCAAAAATCTCTGTCACCGTAGATTATTATAAACTGTAAATAATCCTATTTCGTCTCGAAATATCACGATCTCTCATTTTCAAGGTGCCTACCGCACGGAATATCTATTTGTTTGTTTGCTTTTTCATTATCATTATTGTTATTTAGCGTCTCGATCTTTGTAGCATAGCTAAGTTGTTATTTGTTGAAAATAGGGAGCTTGCGATCTGGTTCCGAGAATTTTTATCCTGCGACGCCAAGCATACGGTGTCTGAATGACGGTGTATTATTTATTTTAATCTTGTAATAGTCATAACAATATTTTCCGAAGCGCTGCACATATTTTACATTTTAACTTTGAAGCAAAATTTTGGCGAAATTTCGGGTGTCGTTGGAGACGGCAAAAAGTTAAAAAAAAATTTGATTTAGATTAAACACAATTTTTAATCTTTTACACATTATCATAACCCGTGCGTGCAAAACATACCAAGAATTGCTCAGTTATAATATAATATATACACGATTTTTTTGACATTTCCTAATAACTTACTCATAACTTAAACAAATTATAATTCTTCAAGTTATTTGTATTTGTTTAATTCAGTATACGTCTGATTTTTTTTTTCAATTTTTCAAGTTTTTAAAATCATGAACTTACCCATTCCCGGGAGAGGCCTAGTACATCCTCCATCTACGAGTGTTATCTTCAATGCTACGATAACGATAAGTATATTCCATATAATAAAATCCATGTTTTTGCAATAGCTCCGCTTTACCATAGTTCGTTATGAAAAAAATGTCTGCAGTGCTTCTTCTATCTTGCAGAACGTTCGATGTTGTATGCTCGGTATTTGTGATATTTGTGAGCTTTTATCTGAGCGCGATGCCCTTTTTTCTCGAGCTCGTTTGGCAACTAGAATTTGCGGTGTCGCTGTTGTCTGTTGGTCGCCGTTTTTGAAGATCTTTTCTCCAAATGTTATCGAATGTTTTGCGTAAATATATTTAGGTAGATTACCATATTTGCCATCGTTAGATGATGCAAATCTTTATCTTGTAACATATGCTATATCACGACACAAGAATGCGTACAAAAAACACCGAAATAACTAGTATGCTAAAATATAAAGTCGATGTCTTAGTAAGTTTGGCCAACTATGTTTGATTATATGTTGAAGAACGCAAGTTCGGGCCCTGCTCAGATCATTTGGTGCATAACCGGTAATACCTGACCATTTGAAAAACGAAATTGAATGGCTACCTATGCAAAGCTTCGCGTATAAAGAATCCCCCACAAACAAAAGACAATTTCAAAGCTAGTTAATTAAACAAATATTCCGTTATCTGGTCGTTTAATGGTACTTTTAATAGAGTATTTCATATTTATCTAAGGTTGCGTCGTTATGAAATACCTAATTAAAACCACGGACCGTCTTCCTTTTAACCATCCCAGATATGATTGGTCACTGCTTAACTAGTTCATCGCTACAGATGAATGAACTATATGCTTACCGTCGAAGCATTCTAATATTTAGATGTTTTTACCGCGTTGTGATTGAGAAGTATTCGTGGAACTCTCCATTTGCTTCGAGTTATGTATTTAAATTATTTATGCAGTATAGTATGTCGTCGTAGTCGTGTTGCTAAATACAGACGGCGTTAGCATTAATCCGAGGTTAAAATGCGTTTTGGCCGGCTATTGATGGAAAACCGCCCGCCGTCGCGCGACAAAATTCCCGTTTGACAAAAATAACAAAAATAGACCCAAAGTCTATTTGGAAAGACCTGCATTCCCAAATCGAGTATTTTCACGAATACTCGACATACGGTTGGTCCTGTAAGGAGTCATACGTAGCTTGAAGGCATTCGTTCAGACGTGAGCACGTTTTCTCTCATTTTGTTAATAAACGAGAGACGTGAGTCACGCAACGTACGCACGCATAAAACGAGAGAATTATTTTTGCTCGCCAGTTTCTGCACGCACAGCGCACGTTTCTCTTTAGCATTGTAAGGAAGACACTTTCATATAAATGCGGCAACGTACAATTCAATTAATTTCGCGTGGCTGAAGAAATACAGCAGATAGTATGTGTCTAACTGAGCTCGCTGAAGACCTTGTGATTTTGTCTGCTGCAAGACAAGTTTTAACCAAATTCTTAACATGCGTTTTGATAGTGACAGGTCGTGGTTCGCCATATGATTCTATCCCCCGGGATTATTGAATCCTATTCTAATTATACAATAATGCAAGACTCAAATATAAAGAGGCAACAAACATATGACCAGCGCAATGTCAGCAAAATTGCAGTCGAACATTAAATAAATTGTACCTTTTATCATATAAAGGTGTGTATCGGATTTCATTTATAAGTGTTCCCATGAATTAGAACCAAACAGCTGAATTGGGTTTAATATCGCCCGTCGTAGGCCTTTAAAAATTAGAAGTACTGGCCTTCGAGATGTGCAACCTGCGACCAGTGGTGGGATTCAGCCGGTTCGCACCGGTTCTATAGAACCGTCTCGCGGAATTTTATGAGATCAGCGAATCGGTTAGCATTACTAAAAAACATATAAAAGAACCGTGTGATGGAACCGGCTGACAAAAAATTTGACTCCCACCACTGCCTGCGACCCATAAGGGAAAATTGTACGGCGCGCGGAGAAGTGCCAATTTTAAATAGTGTGTGGCCCACGAAACGAGTATCTAATTTGTTTTAATCTGGTGCGTGCGAGTAATTCCAATGCCTTCGCGTCGCAAAGCCTATTATACTTTAGTCCTATACCTGTATGTATGTATGTATGTTTATTCGTCTCGTAAAAGCAATATAAAAGAGTAAGTAATTATAAATACTGAAGACGGGATGTATGCACAAGACCATATTGGCCTAAAACACAAATGTGCGGCATACACCCCTTTTGAGCTTGTGCGAAGCGATTAATGCTTGTCATAAGATCAATACCCAACATTTTTGTGCATGCAATTACTAGAAAGCCTATGATAAATAAAGGTGCGCCCGCGGTTTCGCCTAGTTATCTGGCCCTTCTGTATTAAAGGCTGCACACCCCTGAATTAGACCATTAGTTAAGGAGGAAAACGATTTTTTAACAACAATAACTCAAATCGCAACAATTTAACGAAATGATCCTCCGATTTTCATCATGTGCGTTGTTATGTTGTTTCGAGACAGTTTTTTACCCGAATTCAATTCTCAACATGGCGTACTGATAATTAAACTGAGATCAATGCTCAAATATAGTAACACTAAGGTTAAATGTTATCAAAATTCGAGTCAAATGATGAAAAAATCTTTTGTACAAAGCCCCCGTCACTAATCAAAAAATGTGAGATCTGAGAAAAACAACTCGCCACGTTTTAAAATAATAACTTAGTAATTATTTAGTTCAGGTGATTTAAAAATTTGATTTCCAGAGCAATCTGCATTCCTTACCAAAACCGTAACTGGATAATTACTATAAAATTATTTTTTTTTGAGCATTGGCGTGGGAAAAAGGTCCTGTCATTTTGCGAAAGAATGGCGGTATATACAAGTGACAATTTGACGCATTTTCACGCATTTGACGCATTTTAAGCTTAGATAGCGTCAAAACTTTTCACAAAACATGATAGGCCTGAATATCAAATAAAATGGGATCTTTTGTACAAAGCCCTCGTCACTAATGCAAAAATGTGAGATCTGATAAAACCACCCCGCCACGTTTTAGGATAAAAAATTAGTATTTATTCAATTTGGGTTAGGGAAAAGGAGAAAATATTAATTTCTAGAGCTATCTGCATTCCTAACCCAAACCCTAATTGAATAATTAAAAAAAAAAATATTTTGAGGGGGGTGTTTTTTGGCGGGGGTTCTCTAGAGAAGATCCAAAAATTGTACCAGATGTCATATAAAGTTGTGTGCACATGATTTCATATAAAAGTGTTTGCGTAAAATAAAGTTGAAGAGAAAAGTTTTGTGTTGAGTATTTATTGCCTACTGTGAGCTTGTTAAAAATATAAGTGAGAGCCCTACAGAACTGATATGGACAAACTACAGCAAATGTGACTCGCTGGGTAATTCAGTCTGGCCCGCCTAATTCTGTCACAACCAAACTAAAACCAAATTTTGTATTTAAAAATACCACAAAGAATTTGTTGAGATTGCGATCAAATTTAGTCTTGGCACGAGGCTTATTGTTTCCTACTTTTGCTTTTATAACACTGTAAATATCGTTCATAAAATGTAACCAGGGGGGCGAAATTTTTGCCCCTAGAAAATAGGTACGCCTAACTCGATTATATCGAAACATCATGTGTGGAATCAATTAGTCTCACACAAAATTTGCGTTTCTATGAAATGCCGCTCTTACATATTTGCGATGCGTATAGCGAAAGTGCAATAACAGTATCAAGTTACGTTTTGTCGTATCGGATCTCAGTATTCACGTTAACTTGCGCAACATGAGATTCCGGAAAGACTTCAGTGTGTTTATGTTTGCATGTTAAAACTAAATACCATGAAGACCTACAGCATCCAATATCTTACATAGATTTGATAGATGCATATCGGATTTTCACCCCAAGGCCCGCCTATTTCTAGCAAAGCCACGATTTATATATTGGAAAATTTAGCTGCAAAATGAATAACAACGACTAAATATTATCGAAATAACAGTTGCCTATTTCCGACCATTTTGATATGAAAGTTAACAGAGATATATTTGTGCATTAATTTTCAATATCTCAACATATAATAGAATGTATATCAGCTATTTTACCCCAAGCCGCGCCTTTTGAACTTTCAACCGCACCTGAGATATTTGTGAGAAAAATATAGCAGCGAAATAAATAAAAAAAAAGGGAAAATCTTGTCAAAATAACAATTAACTACTCAAACCCGTTGTAATATAAAACTTGTTAATGTACAAAGCAAAAATATTGAATCTCCGCCTTATTACTGTATTATACTCAAACCTGTTTCATATCACAAAATGTGTATTAAGAAAAATTGCGTAAGCAAATAAATCCTGAAAATAGCAGTAAAATGAATAAAAATGGTAAGGTTATGTATAGAAATACCAATTCTTAGTCCTTGCCCTTCTGATATGAAACATCGCATAAACGTATTTGTGCGTGTATGTCAACATCATCCAATATCTTGAGATTCAATAAATATATATCAGGTTTTTCATCCCAAGGCCCGCCTATTTCTAGCGAACCCATGATTTTATATTAGAAAATTTAGCTCGATATGAAACTTAACGGAGATAAATTTGTGCATATATTTTCAATATCTTAACATACAATATACATTTATCAAGTTTTTCACTGACAGGCGCGCCTATAAAACTTCCGAACGCATACATATGGCTTTAGAATAGAAAATTTAGAGGTAAAAAAAGAAGGGAAAAAGTTTTATCAAAATATCAATTAGCTGGTCCAGACTCTAGTTAAACTTATATATTTGTGAATGTATAACCCAATGCCCCTTTATCCCTGCTGCTCATCTGTATTATACTCAGACGGATACTTATATAAATAATAGATAAGGATACATTGCTAGTTTTGCCGAAACGCACAACGACCAAAACGTTTAGCTAAAAAGCAATCTAGATATCATATTTTGGGTTTGGAAAAAGAGTAGGGTCTTCATAGGACTCACTCATTTTAAAGCGGTAGGTCGTTTTGAGCCCAAGATATGGTTTGAATACGGCTCCGCACAAGAGACTACTCAATCTGTTCTTTAGCCACAACAAGTTTATGCCGTCATTTCATATCATGACACTATGGCTATTTTCGAGGGCGCACCAGTTTATAAACATTGCTTTCAACAACGCAAAAGTAATTCGTTACTATACAGGTAAAATTCCCAAACAAAATTTCATCCAATAAGTAACCAGGCATTTTTGTTGAATGATATTCATACTTTTACTAAATCTAGATCTCCTCAATATACAACGGATATTTCAAAGGCCGCCCGCATGGCAAAAAGGTAAGAAGCGTTGTTTATATTATGATCACGTACCTTTGAAATACATGGTGATTCAATCTGTCTATATTTTGCGAAACTCAAAACCCAGAAAATATTATGAAAATAT